AACCATGATTCAAAACCTTTATCTGGCTTTAAATATCCTTATTGTTGTTGATTGGCTGTTAAGCAGAAATGTAGGCAAACCAAACTAATTCTTCCCCTGGAAGGAAAGTGGCTCAAGATTGAAAATCACAGCTTCACAACAACCAGAATTAGTTTTACTTCTCTGAAAAGAAACCTTCATCAACCAAAAAACTTCTTCGCTCCAATGGAGACATTGATCCAAATTTTGGCACTATAGTTTATACCTTGGCATCTCTAACCCAAATGACAAAATTGCTTGTTAGTTGGAGTAGATCAAAATGGTATGTTTCATTTGAAAATCTTCCCTCGGGTAATAAACAATGGGCATGGCTAATCTGGTTGAACATTATTACTGAGTTGTGAGTTTGCTGAGTACAAAATTTGGCATTAAATAATCCAAAAAGGGGTGGAGATGCAAATACCAAACCAATTTCAGAAAATGATTAAAAAAAAAAAAATAGTATTAAGATAAAACAAAAAAATAAACAGAAAAATTGCAATATGAGCACTGATAAAAATGGTTTCTGAGACATTAGGTTTGTAAGTCCCAGAAATTGATACAAAGATGTCCTCAAGGACACACGGTTCCGGGGGTGGCTGGGCAATTTTTGTTCTTGGCCTGAGTGTATGTTCTTGGGTTCCCCAGATTAAACCCAACTTTGTGTCTCAGTGGGAAGATTGGGTTAAATAACAATGATCCAGATGACTACAATCAAAGTACAGTATCTGTTCCAGGCATCCTCATTAGCAATAACAAAATTGTTCTTTACACTATTCGGGCTATTGTCCTCATCTTTGTCGCCGTGTTTGTCACAACCTTTATTTCACTCACTGGGGTAGACTGTTCTAGTTCCATGTGACATGTCTAATGGATGTCAGTTATCTCCTGTTAATTTCCCTCTGAAAGTTCTCCACTGCCTTAACCAGGTATTGAACTCACAAACTGTCACCGGATCTAACACCTTTATCCACTGTGCCAGGTCTCCTTGAGGACATCTGTATATAAATTTCTGGGTATTATAAACCTAATGTCTTCAACAACCATTTTTACCATTGCAATTTTTGCTGTTATCATTGAATGTTTTTTACCAGAGCTCATATTGCGATTTTTGTCATTATTGCTTTTCTCTGGCACTCCTTATTACTGGTTTCCATATTGTATTTATTTCTATGCTTGGTCGGCTCAGGAGATTTTTGTGGCCTAGCATATGTGCTGATTCCTTAAGTTTATGAAATAAAAGGTTCAGTTTGTCATGCCAACCACCTGAAGAAGGCTGGAGTGTACAACGGCCGAAATGTTGTGATAATTATGGCAACAAAGATGAGGACAATAGTCTGAATAATGTAAATAGTGTACATAATACCTCATCTCAGAAATATAGACAGATACAAAATTGTCCTTTTCACTCTCTACATGAACATACAGATATTTTTTTTGCTTAGTGCACTGTAACCTTATTTTTGTCAATGTATTTTCTTCAACAAAAATGAATTTGAGAATGTATATATTTTTTTTTTACTCAAGTTTTCATTTTATTAGTTGTTTCTTCCATAATTCAATATCTATTTGCAGGCCAATATACAATCTGCAAAAATATCATGGGATTAGATAGAGATGAGACCCTCTCACTGTGGGGCAATAGACAACAAACTAGTATTTTCTCACATTAGGGAGTTCAATCTGCATGGGGATCCCATATCTATGGCCTTGTGCCTTTCCAAACAAAGCTGAATATATATATATATATATATATATATATATATATATAGGTAATATTAGTGGTAAATATACACATACATATGCAAAATATATAAATATATATACATACATGCATACACATACATATATATTTTTTTGAATAAAAAAAATTCCAAGAGGATAGAATCCAGGTAGAACTCAATGTCCAGGACAGAGTAAGGATATAATAATAAAAAGACTTAAACACTAATATTCCATGATCATAATTTATTTTAAATTATAATAGAATAATTCCAATTAGATCGTATTTACGATTCCAATGGAATAAGTTATGACCATGGAATATTAATGTTTAAGCCTTTATTATATATATATATATATATATATATATATATATATATATATATATATTACAAATTTGAGGCTGGTAGGGATAATTTTATATTAATCCAGGGAGAGCTCAATGTAGACTACAGAGCATGATAATTTACTAAGAGATGAATATATAGATATTTCTGAAATAAATTATAGCCAAAATGAATCTTTAAGGTTTTTTTCCCTTGATATTATATATATATATATATATATATATATATATATATATATATATATATATAACACTGTAACACCAAGGGTTACTAAGATTGTACAGATTTTAAGATTTTACTGAAGTGAGTTTGATCTTGTTTATGGCCTTGTGTCAGACTTTCCTATAAGAGTACAATACTAATAAAGGAGAAAAAATTTGTTGAAACATGTGGCAATGGATATGAATATGAAACATGTGGCAATGGCTGAGGGATTTACAGATTTTCTGTTTTTTTGGGGGGGTGGGGGTTAAGTAGTTTTTATATATTAATTTTTAGAAAAAGCAAATTTTTTTAGGAGCAGTAGCAGACTTATATTTTTGGGGCTCTGGAGCTTGAACAAATATGCCCCCCCCCTGACAATGAACAACAATGGAATCAAGGCAACAAAGTCCAAAATGTAGGCTATGAGTAGATTGTTAAGCTTAATGAACCCATACAGCTGAGGGTTTGGGTGCTGCAGGCCACCAAGAAATTTGGCCACTTACAGGGGAATTTTGAGGTCATATAAAATGTGTATTAAGAGTATATTCTGAGGTCAACATTAGTGACTTCAACCTATTGACTTTTCACTAAAATAGCATTATTTTAATAACAAACAAACACTTAAAAAAAGTTGCTTCAGGGGCCTGTCTGGGATTGGATGGGTAGTCAACTTCCATTTTTTTTTTATCAACTATGTTCACTTATTACAACTGCAACTTTTTATACTTTGTGCCAACCCCATTAAAGTTTTAAAACAAAAGTTGCTAACCTATTTTGATCGCTGCCTGATCTAAGAATTTGCAAGAAATTTCTATTCTCAATAGTTATCAGACTCTCCCAAACTTATTAGGCATGGGGGGAATACTTGTTCAAGATATGAATTTTATTTATTTATTTTACAAACAACGGAAAAATAAAGCTTAAACATATTTCATAGTTGAAAGTTTCAAGTTATAGTCATTAATCTATCATGATCTGTGTTAAGGTAAACTGTTTCAATGAGGGAGCAAACAAAGTCTTACCTGGAAAAAGAATTCGTGTTCTTTGTGCTGTCAAAAAGAAAATCAGATAAAAAACCAGGTCAAATTCAGTAGGCCTCTAAATATGGCAATTGTTTGCGCTTTCCTAGAAGTCTTAAGCAATCACGCCTTTTCTTAACCCAATAAAAGAACACAACGAGGGGTTTTCTTGCTTCTTTATAGGAGAAGAAGGTAGTTATGCATTGTGAGTTTTGCATAGAAATATTTCACCTGTTTTGATTTACACCTTTTGGACTTGTCAGACTGATTTATGACCCTTGGAATTATGACTTCAAAGTTTTTCTTATTTTGGATCTTATCATCCCCCCCCCAACTATCTTCTTCCACAGGTACACAAAGCTCATGTTGAAGTGTTTTCTGTTGTCTAGCAATTCACTCTAGCACAATGATTCCCAATATGGTGTGCATGCCCCACCGGCAGGGCATGGTAATATTTTGGTGGGGCATGTGTGGGATATGCACCCTTTGCCTTACTATACCAACAGAATAAGAAGGCAAATTGAGAATTTGTTATTAACAGTGAATTGTTTTCTAGTGAGTCTGAGTGAGAGTGTTAATGTTAATGCATGTTAATACATATGATGCATACACAGTATGCATACATAAAAATATTTTGTGTGTATGTGCATATATGTGTAATTGGCATACACACTCGTGTATCTTGGTCAACAAAGGAAGGGGGGGGGCGATGCTTGTCACTGGAAGAGCCCAATGTTTTGTCAGCCATTCAGCGTGTGTGAGCATTTAGTTTGCTTCCTTCACGTGAATTGCAGTAAAATTTTGAATATGTAAGAATTAAATATTACAGTGGGGCACCAGAATTTTAGAAATACTAAAGTGGGTCATGGCCCCAAATTGGTTGGGAACCATTGCCTAGCAGGATCAATTAATGTTTGTTCAGCTGCCCCGGAAGTACCATCAACTGGTAACCAGAATTTGATAATGAAAAAAACAAAACCTTTCTCTGTAACCATAAACCATTTTTGCACCTCCTACATGAGTCATTGTAAACCATTAAGTGCAGATAAGTATCAAGGTACAAACATAAGTAAAATGCAAAAGAGAGAATTAAGAGAGAAGAGGCAGGTGAAGCTAGAAAACATAGTTTGATTTATTAGGGACTTTAAGTTTCCCGTCTGCTCATCATAGACAGTTGAAATATTTGAATTTCATTTGAGTATATGGCAGCAAATGTCCTAAAGTAGACAGGCCATTATCAGCCCAACGGAACATGTAATCATAGCTGAAGCCAGGGTAGAACCTGAAAAAGATTAAAAACAAAATATCAGAAAACAATATCAATTGGAGTTCTTCCAGATGTCAATACTTAAACACAAACTACCAAAATTACTAATTTTTGACATGTATTTCTTTTGCATTAATTTCAGTTGCTTGTTAGAAACAAAGAAAAGAGTGCTGGATTACTATATATCAGTTCTCTTATATGGCAGTAAATGCTGGACAGTCTGTTCATGGATTAAGAAAAAAACTAGAGGCAGCAGAAATGTAATTCTAGAGAACAATACAGAAAATTCCATGGACTGAGCAAGTAAGTGAAGTCTTAAAAAAAAAAAAAAAAAAGAAAAAAGGGAGCAAAAAAAACAAAAACAAAAAAAACACACTTATACTCAAAAGACAGCGGAAATTCCTTGGATGCATAATGATGGCTTATGGCCACATCACATTGAAACAACAGTTCTTGTATGATCACTGAAGTTAAGCAACATTGAGCCTGGTCAATACTTAGATGGGTAACTGCTTGGGAATAACAGGTTCTGTAAGCTTGGATGTGTAGGTGGTGCAATGAATAATGGTTTGGAATTGTTAATTGGAGAGCAGAGTTCTAATTCCAGCTGGGTTCATTATATTCACTTATGCATGAATACCCTTGGGAAAGATATGAATCCATCTCTTCTCCCACCAGCTATGGGTTAATTATAATTATTAAGACTTGTTGCACTAAACCACTATCATCTCCAAAATATAATTGTGTACAAAATATTTCGACTTTGGCATTAAACAAACCATAAGAGTTGATGTGCCACTAAACAAAAACAACCACATAATGAGGAAGGAGGGTTGGAAAACATAACCTTCACAGGGCATACTGAGGGCAAAGAGATAGAGGAAGGTGGTGAGCCAATTACCTGATGAGCTTGTTTAAATGGATTGCAGAATGGGGGATAGGAACATTAGCAAAGGGAGAAAAACTGCTAAGAGCCACAAGGGATAGGAAGTTGTGGAGAGCATTGATCGCATATGGTCTCATGTAATGCAGTACATAGAAGATGGCTTGAGTAGATGCAAAAAAAGCTAAGATGAAAGAACCACTAATTAAAAATATTAATTGAAATTGCTTCTTCGAATGAAAATCCAAGATGATATTATTACACATTGCCTACCTCATATAAATATTCTCTCTGAGAAACACCATTCCATAAATTATTTGGAAAATTATCCTTATTCTTATTGTTTTTATTAAAATGTTTTGGTCAGATCATTCTCTGATCTAATTCAATTGTCTCATTCTTTTGGAGGCATTTTGTTTCTCTTACAGAAGATTTTAGATCTGTGTGTTGGATAAAAACAAAACTGCAAGGAGGAGTGTGCTTGCAAAATCATAGATAAATCCTTATCATAGCCCTATCTTACTTGTATTAATAATTCCTGACCTCTGACAATCCCCTTTTTCTTTATTGACAATGCATGGCTATAAATCATTTCTAATGTATCTATAGATTAACAATGCAGTATTATTATATTATCTGGGAGTATTGAAATGTTCTCAGTCTAAGCAAGAAACTCATCTCCCCAAATTCTCATGTTGCGCCGTCTGGTTAGATTTGGAGAAGTGAGTCAGGTCAAACATTTTTCAGACCCCACACCCTGTATACTTCTTAACATCTGACCAAATGACCAAGCATCAGATTTTAATTTGGAAGCTCTTGTTAGTTGGAATGAGGAATTTTCTGTACTTGCTTGGTTAACTAGTTATTACCGAGTGGGGAAAAAATTGAAAATACAGTAGAATCCCTCATATCCAGACATCTTATCTGTAGTTGAAGGCATACAATTACATTTAAAATATATTTAGTTGAAGCCATAAAATTGTACTAAAATATTTAGATTTGTTTAATTGCACATTGAGGTTGATATGGCGCTAAATAAAATCAATCAAACAACCAAAATGAAAGAACTCTTTCATGGCAAAAATCCATATAATATCCTACAATTTCTTAAAGAAATCAAACTGTATTCCAAAATATAACTTCAACAAAACAACAACATAAAACACACCTATTATCCCCTCTAGTAATCATGTCGCTAGACACATGTATATGCACAAAAGCTGAGTATCATCTACCATGTATTCAATTGTGAAAGCAGAAAAACATGCACAGTAGTATCCTTCCTATCCAAAATCCCTTATATCCGGAATCCTGCATGAATTTGATGTGTATATTTGAACTATTTGGGTGATATGTAACTGATTTAAAATTTCTGTTTTTCAGCAAATTTACTTTGGATAATTGCTTATCTTTCTATTTCACCCTAATGGCTTCTATTGGTGCAAAAGATGATGGGAATAAGAGAAAAGAATGACAACGAGACACATCTGCAACAAGATAGTGACAAGATGCATGATTGTGATGAAACCTGGACTGAAATTGAAAAAGCTATTGAAAAAGTTGTCAGTTTTATGGAAAGAAAGCCAGCATTTAGCTATGATGATTGCAATAATAAATGCCGAGTTAAAGTGTCTTTCGTTTAAAAATTTCAAGAATAAAAGCAAAACGAAATACGGAAAAAATTAATGATATTAGAAGAGAATGAATCAACATGCAACAGCGATTAAAAAATCCTCATTACATTATTTGTTTTGCATATGTGGCATACTTAATTTAATGAATTTTCATTAACATTACATAATTTATTTCTTTTTCCTTAAAATCAATTCCGTTATATTTCACTCACTGTTAGCTTATTTTGTTTACTATAAAACATTGAAAATAAATGTTAAACCTGTTCTTTTATTTTAATTTAAATATAACCCTTCATATCCGGACTTTGTAACCAATTCTTCATATCTGGAAGGCCTTCTTAGTCTGGTTGTCAGGGATTCTGCTATATACGAGATTTTTTTTTTTTATTTTAGAGAAGAAATTAAATTTCATACTTATTTACATATTGTCTTATTTTTTTAAATTTAAAATTTCCATTGTTATAGTTTCATAATACTTACTCTCTTTCAGTGTAGCACTGAATATGTGTCAAGTCATCATTAACAACATTGTTTCTCTTTATTTAGTACTTTAGTTGCTAAATCATTACCTCATGGGCAAGTTTATTGTTAAGGACAGAGAAACACTTTCATTTATACTGATAAATATTTAATTCTGTATCCATTAATTTTTAGCCAATGATCTTTTTCTTCTTGATGTTTAATGCATTTCTACAATAAAATGATTTACAATGCATTTCTATAGTTAATTAACTGATTTTCTTTAATGCCATATCAACCTCTATGGGTTATTTTAATGTCAAAATCTAAATATTTTGAACACAATTTTATGGCTTCAAATAAATATATTTTGAACACCGTTGTATGCCTTCAATTACAGATAAAATGTATTCTTAGTCATTTTGCTGTAAATATATATTATTGGTAGTTTTACTATAAATAGATATCGTTAGTTGGCTGATTTTGTTTAGTGGCATATGAGTCATTTAATGCTGAAATCTAAATATTTTGTATTTAATTTTATACTTACAGAGTAAAGGTATATTTATATATATATATATAGTTTGTAGATATTAAAATATATTGTTCATAATTTTACTATGAAAATGTATTTTATATTTTTTAGTGTTGCAGTGATTGTTATTTTGTTATAAAAATGTATTGTTGGTCATTTTATTATAAAAAATTACTGTTGATTTTTGTTTACTATTATTAACTATTTACCGATAGCTGAGACCATAACATGTGTTACTGTCCCAGGTTAGGGTGGGCCTGGGAAGAACAGAAGAGGTGGTTCCACTACTCTCCCAAAACTTCCAATCTACCAATCATTATTTGCTTTAGTAAATTTTTATATATTATGCATGTATATTTTATTAACATTTGCAAATATTTACTTTTCAATGCAGAAATTTTTATAGTAAAGTGGAAAGCAAAGGAGTAAAGGTAAAGCTAGTGGGCATAACATAACATCCTTCCAAGATATGTGAGGTTTAAATGCACTCATTGCTAAAATACAACGGTGATTATTAATTCATCTTTTCCTTATGCCACAACTTATATATTTATTTAATATATTTTCTGTTTATATGTTATTTTAATAGATACAATTTAATTAAGTAAATTGTACTGCTATTTAATTAAACAGAATTAATTATATTTACTGCTTTGAATATTCTAAAAATTTCATAGAAAATATGTGTTCTCTGAGATGAATTGAACCTGTGTTCTATACGGAAAAATCAATTGATCTGATGTGCTATACCACTCAGCTACAGAGAAGTGCCCAAATTGCTGTTTATAAGCAACAAATCTTCAACAAAATTTCCTGAATGATTATATCTGCTCATGAAATGTACTTTAATGTAAACATTGACAACATATTATGAAATGGATTAGGTTCGATTACTGTTGGAAAATGCATATTTTCTCACAGACGGTGCCCAACTGACTCTGCTATACTGTGCAGTTGACAAAATTAAAAACAAACAATGCGCATGTGTGAAATTAAAAATATAAAATGACGACAATTTATCCATCGCACCCGTATAATCACTTGTGTTTAATTTAAAACAGAGTGACTATTAATATAAGTTACTTAAGCCATTTTCAGGGTGGATGGCCAACTTGCCTTGAAAATTAATATTCAAAATCCTAGCTTTTAACTGAGATTAAACACAAACCTCTGGAGTATATATATATATATATAGAGAGAGAGAGAGAGAGAGACCGCCTGACATGCTTTTACCGATTTCGCCACAGAGGAGTGTTCGGTTAGCAAGGTCAATTTTACTGTTTTTAAACTACAATTTATTTTCCATGATTTTGTAACATACATTCATATCTGTTTGATGTGTATCCAAATATAAATAAATGACTTTAGACATTATGAAATAGACAAATCCAACAATTATTTTAAGACATTTTCATGTTTTCATGTTTATCTATAAAAAAGAATGTATAAGCATGAAAATGCCTTAAAATAATTTCATAATGTGTGATGTCATTGTATGTGAGAAAATCATAGAAAATTGTAGTTTAAAACATAACATATATATATATATATATATATATATATATATATATCACAGAAAAACAAATTATGCTGGTGTAACCAGTAGACAACTTGCCAGAGAACCTAACACCTTAGACAAAAATATCCCAAACAAAGAAAAAGTTAAAAAAAACAGACCAATAGGCAAACACCTACCTACTCATTGAAGTGCTCAATACCCAGATTATCTAGACAGAGCAAAAAATGCTTGACAACATCAACTCTTAAAGGACAGCCTGACCTTCAGACAACTAGAATGGCCACACTCTTCCACAAACAACCACATCAGAAGGAGTTGAAAATTTATCAGACTGACCCCACCCCTGTCCAAAAATTCTGAACAAATGATCAAATATTCAAATTTTCTGGGTATCTCCTTCTTCAAACACAAATATTAGAATTTTATAAATTGGTAACAAATGCTAGACAAAAAACTGATTTTGAATTTGACCCGAAAGAGACAAAGATGAATAATCAATAACTTTA